AGGCTAGAGTATGGCTGGTGTCAGAGGACAAAGGAGAGGGAGAGGGGATGACACAGACCATTAAGACCTTGTGAGTCACAGTAAAGCCCTGGATTGACCTGTGTGCCTCTAGTCTCCCCAGCTAGAATGTGTGCCCCACAAAAGTGAGGATATGTCTGTTTTGATCAACATCATGTTCCCAGCGCTCAGTGTGTGCTCCTCACAGATGTTCTGTGATGGATGTTGCTGTCCCATCATATAAGGCCCTGGACGGATCCTGTATGAGTCTCTCTGAGGCAGGAGTCACTGTCCTCATGTCTCAAGACAAAAATGATGCTAAGTGAAGTCAATGGGGATGCCTGAAGTGGCAGAATCCATTCATTGTCTCTAGGTGTTGGAGCCTCTTCCATAGTAAAGACACACAGCATGCCAGCAAGAAACTACAAGTCCCTGACTCCTTTGCAGCTAGGTGTGGCCATGTGACTAGTTCTGGCCAATAGAAGACAAGTAAAAGTGATGTAATTTCCTTTCAGAGAAACCACTCTGCCCTTTTCTCTCCATCCCTTCCATGGGTAGGAGGCAGGGTTCACTTGGGTCATATGAATCTGTGTAGGACCCTAGAAAGGGACAAAGGTAAAAAAGGAAGGAGCCTGGCCCTCACGGGAATCCTGTTGTAGAGACCGGCCTGTCCTGAGTGCAGGAAATAGTCTTTTTTCAGTTGCTGTCTTGAGAGGGCTATTTGTCACAGCAGCTTAGCCTGGATGCTAACCAATATACTCCAGGTCACATGGGTAATAAGGGGCAGTCTGCCTGGGTCTGGAGGGCTCACCTTGGTAATGTCCACAGGCAGCCCATTTCGTGAGGCCTCCAGCATGGGCTCTAGCCCCTTGGCCTGGCGCAGGTGCATCTTGGCGCCCTCCACATCATTCTTTTGCTTGGCATGCAGCGCAGCCTGCAGGAGCTGTTTCTTACGGCCCTCCAGGAAGGCCAGCTGTTGTTGGGCTAGGGGTGAAGAGGTTTCAGTGGGAGCTGCACAGCCCATGGGATCAGCCCAGCAGACAGCCTATGTGGGTGGGTACTTACCCCTGGTAGATGTACCCTTGGGGGCTGCTTTGCCTGCTGAGACTGGTCCTGATGTGGAAGCCCTGGAAGGAGGGGCCTTTGGCTGGGTTGTGGGGGCTGTGGAGCTGTTTTGCTGCATAGGGACAGAGAGAAGTCAGGGTGTTCCCAGGGCCCATGATGACTCCCTCCCTGTGGTCAGGACCTAACACCAAAGACCTATCTCTGTATCCTTTGCAAGGTCTCATGTGGCCCAGGCTAGGCTGGGATCACAGCCAGGAGCCACCATGCCTGGCACTTCCTCAGAATTGAACACACCTACTCTCTGCAGCAGCTCTGCACAGGGAGACTATTCTCAGCCCATAAATCAAAGGACTGAGGTTGGGGAAACAGAGACTTGCTCATAGCTCCATAGCCAAGAAGTTGCAGGTCCAGGGTGTGAAGGTAGCTGCCTCCCACTCAGGCCCAGGCCCTCTTCTATGACTCTGCCAGGCTGTCACTCCCTGTCTCTGCCCCAGCCCCTTGTACCTTCTTTCCTTTTTTTTTTT